TCTTTTAAATGCGTAACTGAAATAAGAAATTCTATATTAAAAGTTTCAAATTATTTAACTAAAGAAAAAAATCCTGATGAATTGTTATTTACGTCAATTACTATAAAAAATCATCAGAATCAGTTCATTTGTTCGATGAAATTTGAGAATGTTAATAATGATTGCCTTCCACTTAAATTTTATTTATTATTTACATCAACCACCTCGAAAATCATGATTATCAGTTTATTTGTTCCATGAAATTTAAAGGTTTTCATGTTGATTCTTTTCCATTTATTTTTTATTTAGCCGAATGGATGGAGCCACGAGACGAATTTTGTTTCAGATAAATCACTTCGAACCACAAAATCAATTTATATTTGTTCGATGAAATTTAAAGGTGTTCGTAATAATAGCTTCCCCCTTAGTTTTTATTTATCTGAAGACTTATTTAAATTATTATTTAGATTCATCACTTTGAAAATCATCAAAATCAGATTATCTGTTCTGTGAAATTTAAAGGTGTTCCTAATGTAGCCTTTTACATAGTTTTTTTTTTATCTGATACATAAACTAGCTTTGTTGACTTTATATAAACCTTTATCACGATTGTTCTCTTCTATAAGTATTCGTAAACTTTTGGTAACGTCTTTGGCTTATTCTCTCATTAAAATTAATTTCTGATCTATAAAATTATAAATCTCAAATAATTTCATTTTTCTTTTGCAATACAGTTAATAATCTTCAAATTCTCTATTAGAACATACTTCTTATAATTGTTTTCAATTTATTTTTTTACTTTCAGAATGAATATGTGGCACTTGAAAAATATTCCAGGTTTGCTTATTCTGTGTATATTTCAACTGGTTAGCTGCGATTTCTTCAGAACTCCAGAGTTTCGAGATATCTCGAAACTTAAATTTAAAAACGAATATGAATCTGAACCTAATTTGCTTGTCTCGGTTAATAGACATCAGCTTTTAAACAGAATGAGGACCACATTTTTTCGAAAGGCACCAGATATTGAAAAAGGACTTGTGAGTGACTCCGGCGAAAGAGAAAACCGAAGAACCTCTCGAGCATCTGAATTAAGTCGAGCTGCTTTGATTCGAAAATCAAATGATAATTCTCTTTTGAGTAATTCCCGCGAGAGAGAAAATCGAAGAACCATTCGAGCATCTGAATTAAATCGAGCAGCTTTGATTCGAAAATCAAACGATAATTCTCTTTTCAGTAATTCCCGTGAAAGAGAAAATCGAAGAACCATTCGAGCATCTGAATTAAATCGAGCTGCTTTGATTCGAAAATCAAACGATAATTCTTTTTTCAGTAATTCCCGTGAAAGAGAAAATCGAAGAACCTCTCGAGCATCTGAATTAAATCGAGCTCCTTTGATTCGAAAATCAAATGAAGATTCTATTTTGAGTAATTCCCGCGAAAGTGAAAATCGAAGAACCTCTCGAGCATCTGAATTAAATCGAGCTGCTTTGATTCGAAAATCAAACGATAATTCTTTTTTCAGTAATTCCCGCGAAAGAGAAAATCGAAGAACCTCTCGACATTCTGAATTGAATCGAGTTGCTTTGATTCGAAAACCAAATCACGATTCTAATTTGGAAATAAGACACGAGAGAACAAGTATTGATAACAGTAGAGATATTGAAAGTTATCGCGCAAATGGAAGAATCGAATATTTTTCAAGAACTTTGCGTATCAAACCGTTAAATGAGAGAACAAATAGCTGGTTTAAAATACCCTATCCTGTTTTATTGGAGCTTTCTAAAAATAGCTTGTTTGGCTCTTTTAGTTCTATCCCCCGAAAGAATTTCGATACAAGTTCAGAACCCACTTATATGAATGAAAAACAGCTAGAAAGAAAAAAATTTTACGGTTTGAACAACAATAAATTAGCCAGCGAAAATAGAATAAGAATTCGAACAAATTTCATTGACCGTACTCTTGTTGGAAATTCTAAATCACGGGCTATTTATGATTCTTATAAAAAAGATCCTAATAAGGAAACAGAACGTATAAGCAATGCCAAGCGTATATCAAGTGAGAAATTGATAAATCTGCAAAGGGAATACGATAGTCAGAGAAAAAACTTTGGATCTCGAGGAAGTTTATATAGAAGAGAAAATGAATTTAGAAAGGAAGATACTATAAGATCGAAACAAGAATCGGAGAAGTTAAATAGCAAAACTCAATACCGTGCAATCTACAGCCCGATTTTAAAGGGAGGAGAAATAATTCGAAGACAAGAAAGTCTCAGGATGAGATCAACGGAAGACCTGAGGAGAAGGAATCGTATATCTGACAGAAGAAGTAATCACAATAACAGGAAACTTTTTTTAAAAAGTGATCAAGAACGTAGGGCTGAAAGAATTGATAGAACAAAACCAGAATTGAAGACACAAAATCGCAATGTTGAGTCACACAGTAGTTCTCAACGTTTTATTTTCAGCCGAGAACAAGAAGGAAGAAAGGTAAATTTTGAGATGAGATCCAGGAGAGAATTGAAAGTATTGAATCGTAAGTCAGGAAGTAAAAGCAATCGTGATTATCGAAATTTTATTACCGGAACTGAGAAGGAACGTCGGAACGAACCAAATATAGATACAGAATCCCAATTAAAGGTACAGAACAGTGAAGTTGAGAGTCGTAGAAATTATGGATCTCGTCGTCTTATTCTTGGACGTGAACGAGAATGGAGGAGGGGAAATTTTATGATAAGATCACAGAGAAAATTGAAGATACTGAATTATGAACGTGGATCTCGCATGAATCAGGATTCTCAAAGAGTTGCTTCTAATAGTCAAAGAGAGCGTAGAATGGTAGATTTAACGATGAGATCAAGGAGAGAATTGAAGAATCTGAATCACGAAGATGGATTTCGCAGGTATCAGGATTCTCAAAGAGTTGTTCCTAACAATCAAAGAGAAGGTGGAATGATGGGTTCAATGATAAGATCAAAAAGAGAATTGAAGATACTGAATCACGAAGATGGATTTCGCAGGTATCAGGATTCTCAAAGAGTTGTTCCCAACATTCAAAGAGAACGTGGAATGATGGGTTCAATGGTAAGATCAAGAAGAGAATTGAAGATACTGAATCACGAAGATGGATTTCGCAGGTATCAAGATTCTCAAAGAGTTGTTCTCAACAATCATAGAGAACGTGGAATGATGGGTTCAATGATAAGATCAAGGAGAGAATTGAAGGAACTGAATCACGATTATGAATCTGGCATTATTAAAAATTCTCAAAGAGTTCTTTCGAAGAGACAAAGAGAACGTGGAATGGCAAGTCCAATGATGAGGTCAAAAAGAGAATTAAAGATACTGAATCGTGATTCTGAACGTCACGCTAACTATGAATCTCGAAAAATCGTCTACAACGATAAACAAAAGCAATTAATTAAAAGTTTAATGCTCAGACGAGAAGAAATACACCATGCATCGGATCATAGGTCTGATTCTGAACGCCAAGATAGGGATTTTATCAGAAAACTAAAACCAAGAAAGGATATGTTTGTAATAAGATTGAAGAAAGATGTGAAAATAATGTATCCTTGGACGTTGCAAAGAAGTTCGTCTGAATCAAGGCAGCACATTATTGAGCAAAGAAGTGAAAATTTTATGGAGAGGAGAGAATTAAATACGCGGAGAAATAGTTACATAAGAGAGAAAGCCCCAAAGTTACAGTCTTTCAATCGAATTAGAGCCAACGTCAAGGCTCCTATGCGAAGAAGCATTTTTGAAAACAGAATTTCCATTATAACTAGGAATATCGCGGATAAAATGGATAAATCCCGCAGGCATTTTGGAATGGAAAATAATGGCAGGAACCAACAAAGTCGCTCAACCATGCTTCGCCAAAGAAACTCTCAAAGTAAATCTGTGCAATATGACGCACTTTCTTCAGATATGCGAAGGGTAAGATCTTCTGGATATAATTTGAATTCAAGAGAGTATACCAGGAAGGAAAATAGAGATTCCAGGAGTCGTTCATACGATGATTCAAGGAGATTTTTGGCAGACCACAGAATTACTGAAAAGGAAAATAGAGATGAGTTTGTTGATAGAAGAATGGTTTCCAAGAAGAAGTTAGTATTAGGAAGTAGATTTTTGCAGCGTTATGTAAACGCTAATAACAACGAATTAACTGTTGTACAGAATTTATTGCCAGTCAAACAAGAACATTCTAACATAAAAATGAGACTGAACTCTGAACGTAGCAAAGAAATTCGATTTTCATTGTTGTCTCGCATACGTAATACTTCCACGCGAGAATTTGCCAAACCATCCAATTCACGTTTGATACAATATCAAAGAAAAGAAATGAGACAGAATTCTGAACGTAGTAACGAATTTAGACTGTCTCTGTTGTCTCGCATACGTAGTACTTCTACACGAGAGTTTGCCAAACCATCTAGTTCACGTTTGATACAATATCAAAGAAAAGAAATGAGACTGAATTCTGAACGTAGTAACGAATTTCGACTGTCTCTGTTGTCTCGCATACGTTATACTTCTACACGAGAGTTTACCAAACCATCCAATTCACGTTTGATACAATATCAAGGAAAAGAAATGAGACTAAATTCTGAACGTAGCAGCGAATTTCGACTGCCTCTGTTGTCTCGCATACGCAGTACTTTTACACGAGAGTTTACCAAACCATCCAATTCACGTTTGATACATTATCAAGGAAAAGAAATGAGACTGAATTCTGAACGTAGCAGCGAATTTCGACTGCCTCTGCTGTCTCGCATACGTAGTACTTCTACACGAGAGTTTACCAAACCATCCAATTCACGTTTGATACAATATCAAGGAAAAGAAGTGGCTACTCTACTATCTTCAAGACAACATACCACACGCATTAACACAGCAAGAATATCAAGAACTCGGGATTTGAATATTAATTTCAGACAATATTTTAATATGAAAAATAACGACAATCGTAAAATATACGGAAATTCTGATAATCGTAAACTGCTGGTCAGTANCCAAACCATCCAATTCACGTTTGATACAATATCAAAGAAAAGAAATGAGACTGAATTCTGAACGTAGTAACGAATTTCGACTCTCTTTGCTGTCTCGCATACGTAGTACTTCCACACGAGAGTTTGCAAAACCATCCAATTCACGTTTGATACAGTATCAACGAAAAGAAATGGTTACTCGACTATCTTTAACACAACATGTAACACACATTAACACAGCAAGAATATCAAGAACTCGGGATTTGAATATTAATTCCAGACAATACTTCAATATCAAAAACAACGACAATCGTAAAATATACGGAAATTCTGATAATCGTAAACTGCTGGTCAGTAAAATATCGCCATCAGCACAATTAATCGATAATCATTTATTCGAGGGTCAAAACATCTTTAAAGAAGATACTTATTCTCGATATGTGAATTCTGTCGTAACAAGGTCTTCCCCAACTCAGAGAAAAATCTCAAAAACAGTAAGTTTATTTGTTTATTTTTTATCGAATTTAATATCAGTTAGAATTAAAATCAGTTAGTTTTTATAGGGTATAAGTTGTTCCATACAAAATTTAAATATACTATATGGAAAATTGTTACAGATGAAAATTTCTATTGTTTTTCAAGAGTTTTAACTTCATTTGAACTTTACTTAAAATTTATTAATTTCTTTAATTAATTTCTATTATTAATTTCTATTATTAATTTCAATTATTAATTATTTTATAAATTATTAATTAATTTTTCAAATTTTACACTATTTCTATCCTTACCTGAAACCAAAACTTCGTTTCATTAAATTAATGTTCGTTCGTTTGTTTAACAAATATTTTAAGTAAATAATTTTTTTCAACAAATCAATTATAGCTTCATCAGTTGCTTAAGCTTATAATTTCATTGTTTGAAATGACTCAAACGTTTGAATTGCTAAAATTAAAAATTCACTGAATTTTGATATGATTTTCCTAATACAAGAACCACATAGCTCAATATTAACTATAATAGTGTTCTTTTAATTCTACGCAGTTTACGTGCTTTAACAAAATTTGAAAACATATTTTATAAATACAAATTAATCTTTTTTAAAAATGTATATATAATATAAAAACATAATACATGAAGAGCTTAGTGGAAGAAGCAGGTAAGTGAAATTTTAGTTAAATTAAATGAATGAGTTTCTGTGGCTCATTTTTGTTCTTTCGCTCAATCTTCATGTTTTTGGCTTTTTTGTGAAGGGATAATTCATAAAATTTTTGAGGATTATTAATTTGACTATAACTCTTTTATAAAGAAGGTTTTTTAATGAATTTTGGGTGTACATTTACTTGTTTTAATGGAGGATGTTCAAGGTTTTTAAACGAGTATAATTTTGTTTGAAAAGCTAAAATAAAAATTCATATATTTGGATTTATATTCCCGAAAAAAAAATTTAATAACCTTAATTTTATTTTATAACCGGGGTTGAATAACCGATCCAGTTCTGAATTTACGTCTACCGATGTTCAATTCTGTAGCTTTGCTATTTTGAACCCAATCCGAAAAACAATGGAACTCCTGGATCAAGTATTGGGAGAAATTTGCCTTCGTGGAGGACTTTTTGATGGAACTAACCCGCATAATCGTCACATGGAGCGGAGGACCATGAAAACTTCCTCACAGTTAGCCTGACGTCAAGGGGACTCTAACACAGGATTCACCTTCCACTAAGGATATTTTACATTCTCACTGCGGTTGGTGCAAGCAGTGTTCTGAAATTTGTTTCGACCATCCCCTCGCTTACAATCGAACCCAGATCACCTTATTGGGAGGCGAGCTCTCGATCCCCTGAGCCACCACGACTTAGTGATCTTAATTCGAAACAAACTGGTATCAATCTAACATATGGGAGATGATGTTTCAAGTTTTCCATTTCTTCCACAGTTTTCCTTTGAACTTTCAGCGCCCTAACATTTGACGCCAATTGAGTGGTTTTCTAAGGTTGTTTGACCATTTATTTCAAAGCGCACTTACCTCTTTCATCTACCCGAAAAAAAATCAACGAATGCCACTTACCTCCTTCTTCCACTGAGTATTTTCGGAATTAATGGATTTAGCAAGATAATTGAATATTGTATGTTTACATAAGACCAAAATAAGAACTTTTCCCGAGAAATCTCAATTGTTTTAAAAATGTCACTTACCTGCTTCTTCTGCTTCATAAGTCAGAATTAATCAATCACGTCCTGAGTCCCTCTAATTCAAGTTTTCTTGTTTAACTTATTTGTTTAAACAATTACTTTTTGAATATCATTAGCATTAATAATAAAATCATACCCTCATTTTCTTTTTTTTTTTCTTAGGAAAGTTTCAGTAGAAAAGAGATGAGCTTGTCACCCACCCAAAAGAATTCCGGATTATTTGATCAACTATTTTTGAGGTAAATATTCAAGAATTTTTTGCAATAGGGAACGTAACTTTATTGATTTGAGAAAGAATGTTATCGCATCCTTCCATCTTTAAGCCTTAAATGTTATTACATCCTACTTGTTAACATTCTTAATTGAAAGGTTAACATCCTTAGAACTCTATTGATCCTGAATGAAACTTACAAAACGTGTTCTTTTACTTTTTTAATTTAGGAGTTTTTATTTTTTGTTGTTCATTTAGTTTACATTTCATGAAGTTATTACTTATACAGTATCCATAGCACCAAACGTATGTCTATTTATTATTTATGAAGTAGTTTTCTAACATTACATTAAATTTGTTAAATTTGTATAATTTGATTTTAAATTGCATATGAATTGCTCATCATACACTGAGAAGCAATTGTTAGAATCTTGTATTAGAGGGAGGACTATTCATTTTAGTTTTATCATCAGTTAATCAGTCGTTCTGATATTACTAATTGTCTAAGTCAGTTGATCTGAAATTAAAATTTGTGGCATTTAATTGAAAACTTTTTAAATAACTCCTTGAAAAGTTCTCACGAGATAAAAGATTTTTAAAATAATTATTTTTAAACCGTTAACTATTATACAGTTTAGAATATATATTTATACCATGTTTGCAAAAACAAATTCCTTCTACGTAAAAAAAAATGCAATTTTTGAGTATCTTTGTTACCTGTGTTCTTCTTTCGTGACTATCATATTATATATCGTTTGACTCATAACTGTAAATCGCTTTAAATCATTTTAGAATATTTTAAAGAAGATAGACATGTAAAATCCTGCGATAACTCTATGTAAAATCCTGCGATATTTAGTATATGATTATCGAGCACTTATAATCGCTTTCTTAAATCTTAATCTTAATCGCTAAATCACTTAAATTCAAAATCGCTTCCTTAAATCGGTATTAAATAGAATATTCGTCAACGTTAAAATACAACAACAGAAAGTTAGACAACTTTAAAATACAACAATGAATCACTGATAATATTTAAAATTTCGCAATTTAACTTGTTTACTTGCAACTTAACTTCGTTTGTGTCAATTTGTGTACAATAGAAATTTGTCTTACAAAATTTTAATAAATATACAATGTATTTTTTTTTTACTTAGAAAAAAATGAAAATGTAAGATTAAAATTCATCAATGGGACACTGGTAAATTTTGAAATACAACAGAATGTTAATCAATTTTAAAATCCTATAATGAAATATTAGTATTATTTAAGATTAAACAATAATGGTTACTTTGGAATAATGAATACTTTTAAAATAAAACAGAATGCTATTCAACTTTAAAATGCAGTAATGAAGTAGAGGCAAAATTTAAATTTCCACAAAAAAATTTTTATGACGTAGTACAGTTTTACTTGACAGTGTGCGTTAATTTCTGTAATTGCTTGATTTGACAGTGTGTGTTAATTTCTATATGATAAAAATTCTTTTTGTACAGTTATATTAATAAATTTTTATTATATTTTTTACATAGGAAAAATACAGCATTTTCTCTGGGCTTTGATGTTCTCCTAGGATTGGTGATACTTGCATTTGTGATAGATGATTCAGACAAAGGATTCTTATCTCGCTTTAAGAATCAATTCAATGGATTACGTGCATTTTAAATGTAGTACTGACATTAGAAATTTGTGTTTATGATAAAATTTGAACTATTTTTTCGAAAACTTAATGTCAGTTCGTGAATTTCTTAGTCTTAGATTGTGTGTTGTATGTAAATCGAAGAAATGTAGAAATAAATCTATGTAGATGTGCAATTATTTATTTGGTTTTCTTTATCAAAATGGTTTCATTGCTGGTTTAATTTTCGTCTCTGTTAATGTAAGTTGGTTTACAGTAGAATAATCTTCTCACTTTTAACTATGTTACAATTTCATATTTGTTCAACATTGTTCAATAATATTGTTTAATTAAAATTATAACATTTTTAATTGTTGCATCCAGATTTTGAAGGATTAAATCATAGTAACATTTAAAAGTGGTTTTGCAATAAGAAGGTGTTTAGTATAGTTAGACTAAGAGTGCAAGATCCAACGAAGCACTTAAATAAAAGGCCCTTAAAAGGATGGATTATTTTATATTTCATTGGGTAATTTTCATTTAGTAATTTGATTTACATAAGTTATTAGGAAATTAGAATTTTTTTTTTATCAAGCTAAATAATTTATGTTTATATTTATAAATTTTTTTTCAATTGATCCAAATGCCTAATAAAACGTTATAGAATTTCATTTGCTTTAATCAATACCAGTGTTATCTGTAAAATTAAGCGTATACGTAGTAAGCTTTATTATCTTTGTACTCTAGTGCGTAGTATTCTTAGCATGTAGTAAGCGTAATTTTAGTTTAAGAGTTATTTTGCATTGAAGCATTTTTCTTTCTTTTTTTGACCTCAAACATTTTGTTCTACTCTAGTACGTAGTACTCTTAGCACGTAGTAAGCGTCCTTTTTGTTTAAGAGTTATTTTGCATTGAAGCATTTTTCTTTCTTTTTTTGACCTCAAACATTTTGTTCTACTCTAGTACGTAGTACTCTTAGCACGTAGTAAGCGTCATTTTAGTTTAAGAGTTATTTTGCGTTGGAACATTTTTCTTTTCTTCTTTATTTTTTACGGGGGCCGCTGGCCTCAAACATTTTGGTCCAGAGTGCCGATCTGTTACAGACACTATGCACAGTGCCGTTCCTGGCGGGTACGCAGCGAATGCCCCGCACGCAGGCGCCCAATTTAAGGGGCGCCAAATTCAACTATTCGAAAAAAATCAAATTATAGCAAATTATTAAAAATCAAATTATTAAAAATCAAATTATAGCAAAGCTGTAAACTTTGATTACAGGAAGAAACAGTAAACTAATATAAGAAGTAACTTCTACACTTTGCTTCTACACTGGAATTTATGACCTATATTGTACGTTAATAGTCTATTTTATTTGATGTCGAAAAAATTTTTGTCATATTTTTTCGTTGTTTTATTTTATTACGCCCATTTTCATAATCAAACACTTACACAAAAGTGACTTTAGTCTTTAAGGAAACTATTCAGTTTAAACCTCAAACTAAAAATGTTTATGAAAATTGGCCTTATCATCAGAATTTAAGCTTAGTATATAGGGGCGCACAAAATTATTCTTGCACACAGGCGTTCGCCACCCCAGGAACGGCACTGACTATGCACCTTCATGTTCCATTGCACAAACTATAGAACAATCATGGTTCGCTGCAGACCGTGTGTGGGCGCGGAATAGTAAATGGAATGCAAAATTTCTCGTTAAAGCCAGCATAGCACTTGCACAAGGTTGAAATGTTATTCACAATATTTATTTAAATTGGGACTTTTCTTTTGCCTTCAGTCGGATTCATTATATTAACACTAGAAACACTGAAATATCTATATTGCCCAAAAGCAGTCAAAATGACTGCATTGAGAAAGAATAACTAATGTATAAAGAAATTTGTTTAAAATTAATTTTTAATATTTTTGATATTGTTTTCCGTTATATAACAAGTTATTGGTAAATATCAACAATAAAAATAATTGTGAAAGTCACAAAATTCTAAGAAATTGTCTCATTCTATACATCATCGTTTTTCTAATTGAAATTAAAAAGCTGTCAAAATGACTTCCTTGGACAATCTAGTGTTAAGCTTGATAAAAACATTATATTTTTTAAATGCAATGCTAAGAATAAAATAAATCAGAAAATATATTCTAAAACTATGGTACATTTTTAAAATACCTTTATTTTTTTTTCTTCGTAAACCGGCAACAGATTCCTGAGCTCCCCTTTCAAGGAAGGTCCACGACACTAGTTGCAACCCTGGCATCTAACCAAACTGAGGTGTTCAATTGAATAATACGCTTTAATGAGCTTTAGCAAATTAATCGATAAATTAAATCGAAAGCAATCTGTATTAGAACTTTTTAAATATACGATGTAGTATATACGTACACATTGTTTGACTCACAATAAGCGGTTATCAGCAACAATCAAAATTGATTGGTAGACAATATTAATAATAACAAAGAAGAATACCAATTTCTAAAGTCTCTGGTAGAAAAAAAATAACGGTAAAATGATGGTGGTAATGTGGTCAGAATTAAGAAAGTACGAGCCTCATTAATTTCTCAAATGAACTGATACCCATCCACATGAAGCTAGGTAGGGTGGATTGAACCCTAGTCATATACAATGACAGCTCAGTACTTTAATTACTGAGCCATTGCGGCTTAATTAAATTTGCTTCTAAATTTGCATAAATTTTGCTTCATAATTCTGCATTAATTCATAAATTCTGCATAAATTTTGCATTTGCTTCTAAATTTGCATAAAAAGTCATAATATTTTTTAAAAAAGATGTAAAGATAAAAGACTTAAAACTGTATAACCTTATCTTAACTATATAACCTTTTTGAGCCGCGAAGGCTGATTGGATAGAGCGTTCGCCTTCCAATGTGGTGAACTGGGGTTCGATCCCGGCGATGGCAGGTTGATACGAATTCTGCATCCGGCTTGCACCGACCACAGTGCTAACGTTAAATATCCTCAGTGGTAGACGGATCATGGGTTAGAGTCCCCTTGCTGACAGGCTAACCGTGGGAGGTTCTCGGGTTTTCCTCTCCATGTAACGCAAATGCGGGTTAATTCCATCAAAAAGTCCTCCACGAAGGCAAATTTCTCCCTATACTTGATCCAGGAGTTCCCTTGTCTTCTGGATAGGGTTCAAAATTACAAGGCTACGGAGTTAAACATTAGTAGTCGTAAACCTAAAAATTAGGTCGGCTGTTCAACGACGGTTATAAAATAAAATAAAATATAATATATAACCTTTATGCAATTTGTTTAATACTTACGACGACAAAAATGTGTTGCTGANTAATTTAATTTCCCTCATTGAAACGGTTAAAACGGTTGCTAGTTAATTCTTCTTCTTGTAATTATATAATTTGTTCATGCGACCCATAATAATCTAAATTCAACTTTGTAAAGAAAAGATACTTTGGTAAAGGAAAATCTACTAATTCTTAGTAGATAGACAAAGTTATAAGAACGCCTATAAATTCTAAACTATTGGTTTGAATAAACGAAATGTTACGTAATAATAATCGTATATTTTAAATTGTCTTTTTACCCCACTGGTAAATAGTTTTTAAAAAAAAGGAAATATAAAAGACTTAATCTTAACTATATAACCTTTTTGAGTTGCGATGGCTCAGGGGATAGATCGCTCGCCTTCCAATGAGGGGAACTGGGGTTCGATCCCGGCGATGGCAGGTTGATACGAATTCTGCATCCGGCTTGCACCGACCACAGTGCTGACGTGAAATATCCTCAGTGGTAGACGGATCATGGGTTAGAGTCCCCTTGCTGTCAGGCTAACCGTTGGAGGTTCTCGGGTCTTCCTCTCCATGTAACGCAAATGCTGCTTAATTCCATCAAAAAGTCCTCCACGAAGGCAAATTTCTCCTTATACTTGATCCAGGAGTTCCCTTGTCTTCTGGATTGGTTTCAAAATTATAAGGCTACGGAGTTGAACATTAGTAGTCGAAAACCCAAAAATTAGGTCGGCTGTTCAACGACGGTTATAAAATAAAATAAAATATAACATATAACCTTTTTGCAGTTTGTTTAATACGCACGACGACAAAAATGTGTTGTTGATATAAACGATTCAATCTATGTAACCTTTTTGTAGCTTGCTTAATCTATTTGTAATGTAATTATATGTTTTTACCTTTAAATAAATATAATTTGTATAAATTGTGAACAAAAAGTAAAAAGGACGGACGAAGTAAAGTGTACTATCATCTATCTATTCGAATACACCATAGGGGCTTTGATGATCTATTTTAATTCCATTGAATTTCGATTATCGAATTCGTTTCATAATTCTCATTGGAAAAAATGTATTTTACAAAATATCAGAACGTGAGGGGGGTTATCATCATTTCCTGTCATTTGTCATTTGACGTCAAAATGGCCATCTGTTCTATGGAAGAGCAGATGGCCTTCTACAAATGGATCCTTCAGAACGAATTCTAGTAATGCACAGGTAAGTTAGCTCACCTTTAACGCATCATAAGATTACAATGATTATTCCATCATAAGATCATTTTTTTAGTTTGCACTCAAAATATTTTGAAGATAGACGAAATATTCTAAAATTATTATCGTTTTAAATGCCCAAAGCTTCAATAATAATTAAAAAAAAATAAGTATCTCTAAGGATTAGAATAAAACAATACGTTCTTTTTTTTTTCTTTTGAAAATTTGAAGTTTACTATTATATTGTTTTATTCATTTAAGAGTTTAGTATGTATTAAAAAAACTTTGCAGTAGTTGCTTAATTTGGATATCATTAAATTATTTAATAATTTTTCTTAAAAAAATATGCAGTAAATTTTATTTTAACATTTAGATTTTTTTCAAAAAGCATTTTTAGTAACATTTGGGTTAATAATTGAAATTAAAAGTTGGAGTTAATACACGGGGAAAAAAGTATCGTCAAAACTACCAGAATATGGTAGGATTTACCTTGTTTCTATCTCGATGGGAACACCATAAAATATGGTAATTTTCATGGAAGCGCTTTGATTTTGATTTTGGTATTATTAAGAATAAATATGGTGTTAAAATAAATGATAAAATTTGGTAAATGCGGTAAAACTTTAATCATGATACCTCAGCGCATGGCATAAAAACTATTTATTAAGCTAAATTTACTTTTTGTATTTTGTATTAAATGTGTAGTAACAATGATTT